TGGTCCAGTAATCAAAGAGAAAAGCGACTTTTTAGATTTTTCACTAGATGTCCAAAAAGTATGACGAAGGAGAAGAATAATAACACGAAAAAGAACAACAACATAATATTAAAACGATCGCTATGTCCACTACGTGTCAAATAATCCTTTCAATAAATGAATAGCCAAGATAGATGAAAAAGCGAGCTTGTATACAACTTCGACCGTGAAGTACGTCTGTAGAGAAAGTCTATAACATATTGTTGGATATCAGTGGCTGCTTTCACCTAGCCTTATTCGGAGAAAAAGAACTAAGCAGAAGTAAGCATCATATTATATCATTATACAAAATATTTAGGCTGGCTCACTCTTGCATAAAGGCCATGCTTGGGTTGGGGGTTTACATTCACTTGGATTTGCGGGTTAGTGTTTATCATGAATCTGTTCAATGCCACCGTACAATTTAGCTAATATTTCATTCACATTCCAATGGAATCGCGGGTCGCACTAACATAGGCTATCTAGTAGTTGCATGCACAAAAATTTGATTATTGATCTTGCGAGATTCATTGTTTGCACAATGTAGCTGTTAGGGCATTGCAAAGTCATTTGCATAGATAATAAATTGAACTCAGGTACAAAATTCGCGCTGCAAAGAATTTGGAGTTACTCGCACATACCGAATTAAAATTAAAAACTCATTTCGCTTACCGCAGGTTGCACACTCCTTCTCCAAATGATGAATTTTCGAATGAGTAAATCTGAATTAGTCCTAAAATCAGAGACTTACTTTCGTGTTTCCCCAAAATAAAACCAAGCCTAAATGCCAAAAATGATTTCAATATAAACCCTCCCTCTCAAAATAGGACCTGGTCGATAGCGTGAATTTGTAGGTGCAAAAATTCAGTTTTGCAAATTATACAATTATGTTTGACCAAACCTGGGGAATCAATGGAAGGTATAAAAAGCCTTTATTGTTGGTATCAAATTTCATACGCTGCTAATGCCCCAACGCAACCTTTATTTCTTTCGAAAGTCAATAAGGCGGCTAATTCATATGGCGAATCCACGGCATCTCGTCCGGTTACCAGTCCATGTCGGTATGGGTTTAGTTAGCCAGTTATTTGTTTTCGCAAACAATGTTTGAATAGACTCATAGAGTTATATAGTTCCTGTATCCTGTGGCTCTTCATTGCTCAGCTGTAACTTTGCTCAGAGTTCTGTCTCTATTATTAGTGAATGCGCATAACCTAGCTTTGGCAAATATGTTTGAAAAAAATCTTAGATTATTCAACTTAACACATCAACATATCCCAAATTCAGTGGTGGGGCAATATCAGTATGTATGTATGTATGTATGTTTATTTGCCTCAAAAATATAGGAATATAATTTCAGAAATTTTTTTTTCCAAGAAAAACCCACATTACTGTATTCTAGTGAGTTTATTTGGAGTACATAAATCTTAATTCCCAATATTCACTTTCAACAAACCCCTGCACTGTGATATCACGGTTACGGTAATTTCTTTTTTCAATGCAGCCTTTGCAAAATCTTAATCCACCCCAGTTCTAGAATATGTTCCAAATAACCCAAGTCCTTGGCACCATTTGCTTACATTGAAAGTGTTAGATTAGGTACGCAAATGCTAAATTAGAAAGATTCTGGGCCTACTATAAGTATTAGCTTCTCACATTTCTGTGACGGTGCCTTGTTCATAGTGAACATCGTGAAAATGCATCGTATGAATGTTTGTGCTATTGGTCACTTTCTATCCATCGACTTCGTATATTTATCCCAAGTTAAATGACATACTGTGCACTCCTTATATAATTTGGCTGGAATTCTGCTCATATTTCAGTGACATATCAACCTTTGCGTATTGCATAAAGCCGTGCTGGTAAACTAGTCATAGCTCATAAGGAAATAGATTAGCTGACGTTATTCGATAATCTAATAGTGTAATAATTTACATTTGTAAGATCGAGCATGGTCCGTTGGTAAAACACACTGCTGAGACACTGGCCATGTTTGGTAAACACAATTTCTAAATAAATTGATAATATGACGCCAATAGGTAATTTGATGACTGGAGTTGACGAAATACCAAACTGTTATATCTCGATGCAGCTTAGACTGGATTATCTTATTGCTCGAGTTGAGACTGTAGTGTGGTCTACAGATTTTTAGAGGGAATAAGCTCAAAGCATGTCTACGCGCTCTCGGAAATATAAGATATTGAACTTTGAGCGAAGTTGGACTAGAGCACCTGGGACTATAAATCATTATAATATAGAATCACGCATTAGTGAATTCTGATTAAGTTCAGGGAATACATGTTAACTAGTTTAGGCCGTGAATAAAAACCTTTGAGCAAATCTTATTTCATTTTATAAATCCTATCCTTTGTATAATGATGTAATACAACATTCACTCGTGCCTTTTGCTCCGAACGAGACTTGATAAAAGTAGCCAATGATATCCAACAAAAACTTTAAGAATCTCTCTTGAGTCTAGACTCTAGAGACGGGGTTCTCAACCTGGGGTTCGCGAACCCCCTCAGGTTCACGAGAAGATTTCCAGGGGTACTTGGATGACAGTCGAGTTTTTGTATGTTGCTGTTTTTTAATATCTTTTTTTACTACCATAGGAAAATGCGTGCCCATTGAAACTAGACTCCAATGGAAAAGTAGATTTTCCCTGATCTTGTGGTGTTGTGATTGTGATGCAACAATGTGAAATTCAAGGCTTTGCGTACAAACTGTGAAATCTCTAAAGACAGCGTGCTGCGAGCACTGGAGAAGTGATTATGCTTATTGAAACTTGGGAGAGTTTTCAAGAATTCATTAGTTAGGCAGACGACAGCCTTGGCAATAATATCAACAAGACGATTTCATTTAGTTACATATGATCAATAAATTGGTGTTGCAACAAATTGTTAGTCAATATATCAGTAGATCACAACTTTGTTTGGTGTCTGATTACCGGGGGTTCGCGTTGATTGTTTCGTGAACGTGGGGTACTTGACAGAAAAAAGGTTGAGAACCCCTGCTCTAGAGACTTTCTTCGCTGTCGAAGAAGTTATGCAAGGAATATTGGGGCGCATGGCTACGCCTATGTCATAGACATATATCAATGTTTTCTTCAAGTAAATTACGCATTCGGGAAATGAATGTCAATGATAAGGAAGGAGATCAAACTGCCATTCAACATTCACTGCCATTTTGAGCCACGGACTCGTATATTCGTTCCAAGTCAAATGCATACGCCTTTCATTATTGCCAAATACCAATTGATTTATTTTTACCCTGTGAGGGCCAATGAGGAATTTAACAGAGCATATGGCCCAATATTAAGCTGCTACTTGAAAGTTTGCCACGAAGTTGTTTTCATTCAGAAATGTTGGAATCTAAATCCACTTGTATAACATACGGTAAGTTAAGTGAAACTCCTCATATCCAATTAATTCAACTGGTTCTACAGTGTTTCCCCGAAGATAGAACAGACTGTTATAAAAATTTTCGTTCGTAAAATAACAATAGGGCTTATTTTGGGGATGTCTTTTATTTTCATTTATCAAAAACAAATTACAAAGTAGAGAATTACGAGATTTTCAAATATACAAAATATGGGATCGAATATCCATAGTAGAATATAGATTATTCAAATATGACCATATCATAATCACCTGGAATGTCTTACAAGTCACTGGATTCATAAATTTTAAATTCAAAATTTCGCGCTATCGACTAGGTCTTATTTTAAGGGGAAAGCTCAAATTAAATTAATTTTTGGGTATAGCTTTTCATGATCATTATATTATTTTTCAAGTATATTAGCACATACTAGGTAGTGTTGCAAGACATGTACTAAACATTGGTATGACTGACAAGAAAGACAAGTTTGTCCAGTTGTTGTTTCCAGTTGTCGTTGAATAGTCAGATTTGTCTTTAGTGAGAGAGACACATTGCAATGTGTGTTGTCTATAGGAAAACACTAAAATTTGAGAAAATTAGGATGTAGTGTATGAATGTTTGAAAGCATTTGAATTTCTACTACTAGTATCTTTCTACTACTATTTAATTTCTATTTATTTTTATAGTGTTACAAAAACGAAATTCTATAATGACTCAAATATCTACTTACTACACAAATAATACAGAATTTAGTTACATCAGCATCTTTATCTGTTATAAAGCCGTCGCGAAGATCTTCTAGGATTCATGAAATGGCTGATTTTAAAAAATCTGCAAAGATTACCCACTCATTGAATATACTTTCATCATTCAATGAGCTAAAACAATCTGACTGCATTTGTAACTTCACAATCAAAGTTGGTGACAAATCTTTCAAAGTCCATCGAGACCTACTTGGCGCAGTATCAAAGTATTTCAAAGGCATGTTTTCAAGTAACATGATTGAGGCTCGGAATGGTTTTGTTATTATGAAAGACATCTGTGCTGATGCTGTAGGGCAGTGTGTAGATTTCATGTATACTGGTGAAGCAAATCCATCCATGGAATCTGTTGAAAATACTTTGTATGCTTCCCACTTAATGCAGCTTGATGTATTATCGAGTATATGCTTTAATTTCATGGAAAATAATCTGTCAGTGCAGCATTGCCTTCTAGTGGGCAGGTTGGCAAGGCTTTATGATCGAACAGAGCTAGAAACCATTGCTGAGCGATTTATTGTGGATAATTTTGAATCTCTGATTTTGGGTGAAGATTTTTTTCACCTGAGCAAAGAAGAACTCATATTTTATCTGCAAAAGTTGGATAAAAAACATGAAGTAGTTTGGCATGCTGTGAGAAGATGGATTTCAAACAAAGGTGAAAAGATTGGATCAGAATTAATGGAGACTTTGCATTTTGGAAAGTTTCCCTATAAGTTTTTGCTCACAGATCTGCTAACAGATTCTTTGGTCAAAAGTTCTTCAGATGCGAAAAGTTTTGTCGTCAAAATATTGCTTTCGAATATCGATGGGTTGGAAGAAAATTTGTCTCTCAACACTTTATTTATTTTGAGGAAGATTAATCGGATTGAAAACAAAGTTTGCTCAGAGAATGTCAAAAATATAATCAATAAATTTATGGCTCAGAATTTTGAACAGATTGTACTGATGGATGAATTTATCGAGTTGGAAAAAGATGAAATTTTTTTCTTGTTCAAATCTCTGGAAACAAAATATTCTTCAGAGAAAATTAAATGGGAAGCTGCATTGAAATGGGCCAAACAAAGTCGTCGTCATCAGAAATTATTTCCAGACTTGTTTGAGCTGATTAAACTTCAGGATTTTTCTGGGGATTTTATTCGGCAAACGGTCAGAAATGAACCTTTAGTTGAAGAGTCACATAAGTGTAAAGATTTATTGCTTGATGTTCTCTGTGCCAGAGCTGAGGTTCAAAAATATGTTCCACATATTGCTGTCTCATCAGATACTGGTATAAAGACTCTGAATCTCCAAACAAATCAATGGTCTAGTTTGCAGTCAGATTATGATGTTGGAATTCATCTTGTCAATGTTGAGGGACGATTGTATGCTTCAGACGGGTGTGAATTGTCTTTGCTACAAAATGGTCGATGGATTAAGAAGTCCAAGATTGAAAGGAAGAAAGATGACTGGGATAAGATGATTTATCTTAAGGGTAGGATTTATATTATGAACTGTGATCAGCATACAGTGCAATATGACATCGCCAAAGACAGATGGGATAAGAATTTGCCTTTATGTCGTCTTGGTCCAGGTTTTCATGTTGCTGCCTCTGATGGGTTTATATATGCGATGGGAGGTGGGTCAACATGGAGAGAAGCAAAAGTATACGATCCTGGAACAAACAAATGGTCTTCCCTGCCACAGATGATTTATGGAACAGCAGGTGGAGCAGCAGTCGTTTTTCAAAGTATGGTTTATTTACTGGGGGGTATTGATGGGGAGCACTTTCACAACCTTGTTCAATGCTATAACCCTGTTGTACGCGCATGGACAGAAATTGTAAAAATGAAGATGAATAGAAGTTATTTCGGTGCATGTGTTGTTGACAATAAAATGTATGCAGTGGGTGGGGCTGAAGTTAAAGGCCTGACTAAGGATTCTATTGAAGCATTCAGTGAGCAAACTGGTGAATGGGAAATAGTCTGTGAAATGGATCGACCTAAGTTGGATTGGGTTCAATGCTGTAGCTTTGCTCGATAGATGTTCAATGAATGATAAAAGTTGATGATGAGGAAATATTCCTGCTTCATGTAAATACTGACTGTATAAACTATTGGGTCATTGCCTGGTGTTGATTTATCTTCAATGATAGATGTTCGAATATTCTAGCTGTGTCAATCACAATAATTTCTCATTTCATTCATTTTATAGTTCATGTTTTCAATTCATTAAATCCATATGCCAGACGAGAGTTGGCATATGGCCGTAGTTTGCTCAATGATTAAGCCGTCTCATTGGCTTTCTTCTCCCCTAAGATAAAAATGTAATCCCTATTTCATAGGTGAGCCGTAGAATCTGGCACTAACTCTTATTAACTTTTCTTTTCGGTCATTGGTGGTGATTGAACTTCAATAAACCTTCCCAGATAGATGTATGAATATTTTAGCTGTATCAAGCACGATAATTTTTCATTTCATCGATTCTATAGTTTATTTTTTTAATTCGTTAAATCTACATGCCAGACGAGAGACTATGATTTGCCATATGCTAAAGCCGTCTTATTACCTTTTCTCTCCCCCGGGATAAAAAATTAAACTCTAAATATTACCAACAAGCAATCTATCTAAAGGTGAACAGTAGCAGTAACATTTGTCACCCTGTCTAACACAATTTGGTAGAAGTGTTGGGCATGAGTTTAATTACATCGGTTTCGAACCTCATTGCCATGGTATTGTAGAGTGAAGAGTGAAGCCCATAAGCTTACGAGCAGCCATATTATTTTTTCTTTAACTTTCTCTTTATTTGCAATATTTGATTATATACAGTAAAAGTTAATATTACTTAATTGAGAGAATTTGAAAATCTTTTTATGAAATTTAATGACGGCTGTGACAAATTTGTGTCTAAATAAACTATTTTTGTATTTTGATCTAAAAATATAAAACTCTGTTCTTGTGAAAATGATTTATGAGGCTAAATTTACTTGGTATAAGAAGGGAATCACTATAAATCCAAGTAAGTTTTTTATATATATATGTATATATATATATATGTTTCAAATTGTAATTCTATTGGGTGAAATTGCAGTGATTTTACATTAGACTCCAACCTTGAAGAAACATTTTAAAGGTCTGGCTCTGAGATTAGGCAAATTTGAACCTCTGTTACCGACTTGAGGAATATTTCGACTCCAACTCCAGCTTAATATATAAACTAAAACCTATGTAAATACAACACGTGAGCATGTCCAACATACAAAAGTCTGGCTGCACAGACACACATACACTATATATATATACTTGTATATATATTAGAAACATTAAATATACAGATTGAAGGATTTTTCTTCATTCTTTGTTTTCTGTAATCCAGCATCTGTATTTTTTGTTCAAACCTATATATTCAATATTTCAAATTTCTAATCATAAATCATTGTTCATGTCAGATTTTATAAAAATTAGGATTGCTCGAAAAAGGATGAATTTTATGATTTGAAAAACTGAATAATTTTTGTTTTTTTTGGCATCCTTATTTCAAGCATCTATAATTGTTGTTTGGTTATGCAATTTTAATTATATTGATGTTTCAAAGTGTGTTTACCATCTAATAAATATGCAATTATTCATTTCTCAGATATAGTTTAAACTGTAGCTATATTGCAAATAATCTCTCCCCAAAGGCAGGACTGGTCCGGTCTTGTGTATTGAAGAAAAGTTTACAATCCAGTGACCCAAACATAAACCTTGTCCAGAACAATAGGGGGATTTAATATTCTACATCTGGAGCCATATTTATCTCAATATTTCGATGTTTGTTCCTAAATACAGGATAGAATTTCCCTATTTACCGAGAATAGGTGAAATTATAAGACAGTTTATATCATACCCGATTAGAAGAAAAGCCAACAGACAGAATAATTGGTACTCCCGTGTTAAATGTCCCTGCCATAGTTAGGGGATCCCCAAAGCAGAAACTGCGGTTTCGATTCCTTCGCTCTGATTCAATAGCGACACCGCGTGTCACATCACTAAATAATTAATAACTTGCTAGGTATACGACATAATTCATCTAATCAATGGGTTTCTGGTCCGAGATATGATGAATACATAGGCAAAAATTGGAGCAGATTCAACCTCGCTTTCGTGAGATATCTCGTAACATACGAAATTGTCTAACAGACAAACGAACAAACAGACAAATACCCATCAATATACTTACCGATCGAGATCGATGAGTAATAAACTCTCATTGGCTATCACTCCGGATTGGGCGTGTCTAGAGGAAGGACATAAAGGCAACCGGCGCGGGTAGAACGTTATAGGGTGCTTAGTTTGATAATTTAAATAATAATACAAATATTTCATTCCTACTTTACTTTTAAATTATTTAGTCCCATGTATAACAGCATCTATAATTTGTTAACTCCCTAAATTATTTTTTTGGTTAGTTATAAGGAATATCATTATCAGCAACTCCCCGGACAACAGAAGTCTTATGTCAGTGTATCCAAAATGCAAACTAGAGTGTATCGTTGCATGATTAAACTGGTCTCTCTCCCTAAGGATAACTATAAAATAGTTATTTTATATATCAATAATGTACAAACATTCCACCTGTGTTGAATAGAAGCAACTAACTAAACTCCAAGTCAAGACTCAATCATTGGGTTAATTTTCACTGACAGTTAGTTGATGATGCGATGACTCGAGTCGAACTTAAACCTTCCCGAAACCTTGAATTGCCGATCAAGTCGAGGCAATCGCTGAATTAAGTCTCAATGTCGATTGATAGAGACGAAGTCCGAGTCATTTTATTCAGATGACTCGAGTCCCTTCTAGTCTTTGATAAGTGGTAACTCGAGTCGAGTCAATAACTCGATACTCCCAAACTGTAAACTCGATACTGTATTCCATAGATAAGGGGTGCACAACCTTTAATACAGGCAAATACAAATAACAGAGTGGAACCGTGGGCCGCACCATTATTTAACATGGGCTTTCAAATAGATGCAGGCTTTGGCTTTGCACCAGCTCAGGTTTAGGCTTTGCGACGGGATTGGAATTACTCGCACGTACGAGATTGAAATAAATTAAAAACTCGTTTCGCGGGCCGCATACCGTTTAAATTTGGCTCTTTCTTGTAGGCCGCAGAATTTTCCCATGTTGACCACATTTTGCCCGCAGGATTCACACCCCTGCCATAGATGAAAAATGACCAGAACGCGGAAAATTTCCGACATATGCGACTGAATTGCAATCGCTGATTTTTAAGTTTGTAATGAATACGAAAATATACAAATATCAATGAAAAACACGATGATATATGAACTCACTAATCGGGTTTTATGTTTGTGATCATTGTTATAATATACAAATATAAACGAAAAACACGATGATGTATATACTCACTGATCCAGCTTTAAGCTTGTGAGCATTGTTAAAATATACGCCTGTGTTATGCACGCAGAAGCTGTAGAAATACTAACAATTAAGTAACAATCACGAACATATATTAACCCTGTTTGAATATTTTAGCCCAATTTTAGCGAAATTAAACTTTAACGAATTTGTCACAAAAATTGCTTTTACGAGAATTAAGACGAATTAAACTTTATTAATTAAATCGTTTAGATGAAATTTTGTAAATCTAGTGTAATATGAAAAAACAAATCATTCTGTGTTACGAGTCGCCATTGAAATTTGTAATTGTAAATAAATTTAAATTGCACAACATTATGTATCGTTTATTGACCCGAAAATAAGTGACCATGGATTACCTCTAAATTCTAAAGGTGTTGTTTATACGAACCACAGCCTCCAACAAACCCCCTGAGTTGTGGAAATAGCATCGCTAGTACTTTTCCATTATGTTCACCTTTGTCCCGGGCTGACAAAGTAAATTAAACTATTTCGCAATCTGAGGTTCAGACGTTTTGTCGATAAGAATAGTCGCCGTATTGTCAAATGAAGGATGAGGTTTTTATATATTTAGAAATGGGAAAGGCACCTTATATCCAGGTGCAGATGTTAAGTATATTTTAGCTGACGATTGGTGACTTTCATCAAAATTTCATCGCAAATTTATCCAGAAAAACTTTAGACGTAATTCATACAGGCATAGGGGAGCTGGATAGAACACTTCGATGAGCCGGATCCGGCTCGCGGTCCGTAATGTGCCCACCGCCGATATATTTTCTCACTAATCGGGCTTAAGCTTGTGAGTGTTGTTAAATAGTACGCCTCTGTTATGCACGAGGGAGCAGTGGAAATACAAACAATTAAGTAACAATAACGGTCATACATTAACCGTGTTTGACGATTTCAGCCCAATTACAGCGAAATTAAACTTTCAGTTAATTTGTCACAAAAATTGCTTATACAGGAATCAAGACAAATTAAACTTTATTAAAAAGGTGACATTTTGTAAATTAGGTGTAATATAGAAAAGTGTCAAGAGTCACCATTGGAGTCTGTAATTGCAAATTAATTTCAATTACGCAACATTATGTAACGTTCACAGCCCCGCAAGCAACTACCGATGAATTCCTTGAAATTATAAAGGTGTTGTTTATTCGGACCACAGCCTCCTACACACCCCGTGTTTTGTCGAAATAGCACCGCTAGTACTTTTCCATTATGTTCACCTTTGTCCCGGGCTGACAAAGTAAATAAATCTATTTCGCAATTTGAGGTTCTTCATGTTCAGACATTTTGTCGATAAGAATAGTCGCTGTATTGACACACGAAGGACGAGGTATTTATATATTTAGCAATGGGGAGGGAAAGGCCTATAAAGCGGCTCCATCTCATAGTCTTGTAGTCCAGGTCGGAAGTTCGTTGTTCTGAATTACAATATATTATTCAGTTTATTATTCCAGATACATATGTTTGTATCGTTGTACCTGAGCCCTTATGAATAGTTTTAAATTTAAAAAATTTAGATCAGCGTTAGGGATTTTTATTTGTTGGTTCATATATTAGGATTCTTGTCTGAAATTTATTTAGTTTTTTGTTTCCTAAATTGATATGATGAACAATTATATTTTGGTAAGCTCTATTTCGTGATTGTGACATCCTAGTGACGCAATTTTTGGATGACGTAGTCAGGTGGGGGTCAATGATGATATATGAAAAAATTGGTACGACACGCCCACTAGAAATGTATATTCTAAGCTTGTATTGCCTTGTTTATACTGAATGTTATAAATCTCAAATTTATGAGTGAATGGAGATTTATTACCGACATGTGGACTAAGCAGTTAGATACTGGTATATGTTCTACATCAGAGGTGGGCAACCTTTTTCGGCTCGCGTGCCGAAATCGGCTTAATTTGACGACAAAATTCTACCACGTACCGACCAAAATTAAAACAATTCATTGCTACTTTCAAAGCAAAAATACAAAATAATAAACCTTTTAAACATGTACGGACTTCACTATTTAGGAAAATATCAGTCCGTAAATAGACTTGATTACTTTTCTTATTTTATATCAGTGAGACTTCTGCTGCTGAATCCCCGCTGATAGAGATTTTACATTGGGTTTATATTTTGTAACCTTCAGAGGAATACACGAACTACTGGTTCTATCTTTCGGGCTACTACTGTTACTAGACTTGATAAACTTTATAACCGAGAACAGAGATATACAAGCATATGTAAATGGAAACATGGAAAGTAATGCAGTTGCAAAGTTTTCAAGTTTCGGGAATGACACCCCAATCACGCAATAGTTCGTTTTCTGCACTCTCTTGTATTCATTTTCCTAATCGCTTATATTACTTTCGAAATAAATTTATAACAGTAAATTGGCAAGTGACACTAATCACATGAGCTGTACAACTTCATAAATAAGGCAGAAGTGAAAAAAAATGGTGATGCAGACAAACTATATTACGTAAGAATGTAGCCAAATGAATGTTGCACACTTTTCGACAAAATTTCTCGAGAGATCACTCATTTGTTACGTCATAATATATTTGTTTGTAGCTATATGTCATGAAAGGACAAAAAGGGTTAAAAAACGGATTGTTAACAAACGATAATGAATAAACGAACACCGAGTTTCATCAGATAATTCTTGAAAATTTTTATCTGAAGGAGAATGATCTCGTTTCCGAGGCTTCGCTCGCGTGCCGAATAAATGAGCTCGCGTGCCAAGTTTGGCACGCGTGCCAGGGGTTGCCCACCCCTGTTCTACATTAATGTCAAATGTGGAATATTTATAGAAGTAGAATTTACGCTATGTCCATGGTTGGGAAAGATATATACTTGCGGACTGCGGTATCTGAATACCTACCATCTAAATCACGTGTTTTTGCTTGCTGAGTGGAATTAATAAATTCTGGATAAGTAGTGATAGGCCTATATATTATGTTATAATTTCACTAAATCAAAAAAGTCTCAACAATCACAAGCAAAGAAGAAGGCATTCAGCAAGCAAAATAATGATAGTGTGATTTGGAAAAAGAATTATATGCGATCAAGTATTCAAGCTTATGATATTTCAGGGGTCGCCCATTAGTGTTCCCTCTAATAAAATGTTACACTGAGCAAATATTTGATTTATTGCGCATGATTATTTTAGGGGCAGATACAAATAACTGAGTGAATCGCGAGCCGCTTCACCATTAAGCTTTCTTGCAGTTCGGGCACAAAATTTTTGGTACTCCTGAAATATGCGTACCAAGATGGCAGATACCGGAAAGTAGTATGTGTACCAGGTTAGGGTTAGACCATAATTTCAGGAACAAATACTACAAGAGTCAATTGGCCAGTCCATGGAACTAAGATTAGAAAAATTGGAAGAAAATTTTCACCTAACCTTAACCTGGTACACATAATACATTCCAGTTCCGCCATCTTGGTTCGCATACTTCAGGTACTTTGGTTATTGATCTTATGAATGCGGTGTTTCCTTTGCAGAAGCTCAGATATAGCACTCAGGTTAAGGCTTCGCAGCGCGGAATTACTCGCACATACTAGAATGCACTAAATTAAAAACTCGTTTCGCGGGCCACTCACTATTCAAAATTGGCACTTTTTGCCCCCGGCCGAAAGTTGCAAACCCCTGTCTTAAATGATTCACGTACTATGGGCTGGCATTGTAGGCTCGTCTAAAACTAGCCCTTTCCAAATGCTTTTCCAGAATTCAAGGCACTTGGTATGTGACATCACAATGAACAGTGGCAAGCAGTACATATGAAACGTAGAACGAGCATTCTAGCTAGACGTTGGAAAAATGAGTCGGGAGCCATGGTTTGAAAGAATAATGTTGCAAGTGTGCAAGACTGGAAATTCAACTGCACAAATAGTCTGATGGCACCTATTACATTTTTCAGAGATGAGTGTTCTTCACTTCTGATTGAGTGCACATAATGCACCACCATACTTTCAAATAGTCTCCAAGTAGCTCCCTGCATTTCAGTGGTCGCCTGTGACTTAACTTAAGGTGAGTTTCCTTCACTATTGTGTAAATACGTATATTGCACCACCAACATTTAAATCCCCCCAGTAGGTTTTGAAGTTTAGATGATTGTTCGTAACTGTGCTCTGAGATGAGACTTTTTCATTTCTGAGTGAGGACGCGTAATTCACCATCAATCGCTTTGAATTCTGAATAGAATCAGTTGCTCTTGGTATTTTAGTGGTTTTCGTAACGCTGTACAGAGATGAGTCTCCTACTGAATGGAATTTCAAAATTCTAAATAGTTTTTGTAGCTCCTGGCGTTTCAGCCACCAATTCCAACGGTCACCTTGCTCTGAAATGAGTCTATTCTACTACTGAGTGCATGATGCACTACTGAACTTACTTACAGGAAACCAAGTTTGCCCCTTACTGAATAGTCAGCTTTGTCTCTAATGAAAGAGACGCATTGAAATGTCTGTTATCTATACGAAATAACAACCTACTTGAGAAAGTAGGTTGCAGTGTACATGATAGGATTTTCATATTAATCCCAAAATCGCAATCTCATGGCGATTGGATGTTTGAAAATCACTGCACCAGGACATCTATATAACAAATTAGGATTTGACCTTTTTGTAACCTTGAATCTTGTTTCTATCTCTCCTCTCTTTATATTGTATTGCAAATTTGAAATTCTCCAATACTACAAATATTTACCTAATATACAAATACCACAGAATCTAGTTAGGTAATCATCTTGCTGTCATCTATATTATTATTAAAGCCTTGTCATTTGTGAATCACTTCCAAGATACAGAATATGGATGAATTCAAAAAATCTGCAAAGATTACCCACTCATTGAATGTACTTACATCATTCAATGAACTAAAACAATCTGACTGCATTTGTAACTTCACAATCAAAGTTGGTGACAAATCTTTCAAAGTCCATCGAGACCTGCTTGCCGCAGTATCAAAGTACTTCAAAGGCATGTTTTCAAGTAACATGGTTGAGGCTCGGAATGGTTTTGTCGTTATGAAAGACATCTGTGCTGATGCTGTAGGGCAGTGTGTAGATTTCATGTATACTGGTGAAGCAAATCCATCCATGGAATCTGTTGAAAATACTTTGTATGCTTCTCACTTAATGCAGCTTGATGTATTATCAAGTATATGCTTTAATTTCATGGAAAAAAATCTGTCAGTGCAGCATTGCCTCCTAGTGGTCAGGTTGGCAAGACTTTATGATCGCACAGAGTTACAAATCAATGCTGAACTATTCATTGTGGATAATTTTGAGTCTCTGATTTTGGGTGAAGATTTTCTACATCTGAGCAAAGAAGAACTTGTATTTTATCTACAAAAGTTGGATAAAAAGCATGAAGTAGTTTGGCATGCTGTGAGAAGATGGATTTCTAATAAAGGTGAAGACATTGGATCAGAACTAATGGAGACTCTGCATTTTGAAGATTTTCCTTATAAATTTTTACTCACTGATCTGCTAAATGATTCTTTGGTCGAAAGTTCTTCAGATGCGAAAAGTTTTGTCATCAAAAAATTGCTTTCAAATATCGATGGGTTGAAAGTGAATTTATCCCTCAACACTTTATTCGTTTTGAGGAAGATTAATCGGATCAAAAACAAAGTTTGCTCAGAGAATGTCAGAAATATATTCAATGAGTTCATGGCTCAGAATTTTGAACAGATTGTACCGTTGGATGAATTTATCGAGTTGGAAAAAATTGAAATTTTTTTCTTGTTCAAATCTCAGGAAACAAAATATTCTTCAGAGAAAATTAAATGGGAAGCTGCGCTGAAATGGGCCAAACAAAGTCGCCGTCATCAAATATTTTTTTCAGACTTGTTCGGGTTGATAAAACTTCAGGATTTTTCTTATGAGTTTATTCGACAAACAGTCAGAAATGAACCTTTAGTTAAAGAGTCGCATAAGTGTAAAGATTTATTGCTTGATATTCTCCATGCCAAAGCTCAGGGGGGAAAACTTGTTCCACATATTGCTGTCACAACAAAGACTGGTATAAAGGCTCTGAATCTCCAAACAAATCAATGGTCTAGTTTGCAGTCAGATTATGATGTTGGCATTCATCTTGTCAATGCTGAGGGACGATTGTTTGCTTCAGATGGAAATAAATTGTCATTGCTACAAGATGGGCAATGAATAAGAAGGCCAAGGTTGAAAGGAAGAGTGATGAGAGGTATGAGATGGTTTATCTTAAGGGTGGGATTTATATTATCACCCGTGACCAGAATACAATGCGATATGACATTGCCAAAGACAGATGGGATAAGAATTTGCCTTCATGTGATCTTGGTCATGGTTTTTGTGCTGCTGCCTCTGATGAGTTTATATGCGATGGGAGGTTATTCAACTGCGACAGAAGCAAAAGTATACAATCGTGGAATTAAGAAATGGTCTCCACTGCCACAGATGTCTCATCAAGCATATGATAGTGCAGCAGTCGTGTTTCAAAGTATGGTTTATGTATTGGGAGGAGATGATATGGGGTATCCTCACTGTTATGTTCAATGTTATAACCCTACTGTTCGCTCATGGACAGAAATTGAAGTAATGGCGATGTGTAGACAATATTTCAGTGCATGTGTTGTTGATAATAAAATGTATGCAGTCGGTGGGGATAGTTATCGAGACCTGACGGATTCTATTGAAACATTCAATGAGAAAACTGGTAAATGGGAAATAGTCTGTGAAATGGATCCGCTTCATGTTCCATGGGTCTATTGCTGTAGCTTTGCTCGATAAATAAGTAATCAATGTTAAAAGTGGATAACGAGGAAATACACTTGTTTCTGTTATGTATATACTGACTATATGGCAATGAATCTGACGATTCAATATTTTCCTTCAATTCAATATCAATTTCAGATACAAAATTGTACATAATAATGTGATTTAGTTGACTTCTATTTATAATTACCAAGAAACTTCAATATCAGACATGTTGTGATTTGGCTCATTTGCTATCAATTAGCCAAACTTTATTCGTTACCTTTCCTTAGTAAATAGATGTGCTCTAGTCTTTTTCTCATTTTTCCACGATTCAGTAAGCACTATAATAGAATGTATTAATCCAGGGGTCGGCACAGTGACGTAGCCAGGGGGTGGTTTTGCGGGTCGACCCCCCCCCCCCCCTTTTTAAATGTAAAAAAATTAAAAATAATTTTTCTGTATCGTAGATAGCACCGTAGCTTAAAATGCTTTTTAGACCCTCAAGGCTACTAAAAACACGCGTATTCCAGCGTTTGATCGGACCCGCTAGCTGTTTCGATCTAACTTGGCGAAAAAAAAAATTTGAGCCAATTACTTGCAATCATTATTTTGGCCCGCGAGCGACAAAAGGTTGCCGACCCCTGTAATTAACCGAATAAATGCAGTTCTAAATAAATATCATCTCATTAAGTCATTGGCATTGTTGCAACTGTAACAAATTCATCCTGAACTCTCCCTCTGTTTTTTATTTCCTCCTCATCGAGTTTGAATTTTTGAATGGTTACGTTTCACTGCTTGGTGTTCATTTTATCTCACACTTATATCGGCATTTATTGCATTACTTTGCTTCATGTTGTTCATATGCACTTGCTTTATATGTAATATTGCACTCCATATGTGTTTGATGTAATAGATATTTGAATTCTCAAATCATAAGATTGATAATGTTGACAATTTCAGTGGAAAAATATTTTTAAATTTTTCAACTTCAATACTCCACTGCAGAGAGGACTTTTTTATTCATTGAGCAGCAAATTTATTTACTTAGTGTGCTCTATACTTTATATGCTACTAATTCAAATGTAGATAGCTATCTAATATGTAAGCAATTATTAACTTTAGTGATATAGATTCAACTGTGGGTAGGTTGCCAGTAATCTGTTTCAAAGACAGGACTAGTTGAAGTCTTGTGTATTGAAGAAGAGTTGACAATCCAGTGACCCAAACTCAAGTTTGGTCAAAATAATGGCTCGGAACCCGATTTTGTATATGTGAGGATTGAATATGAACAGACACCTTGGCAATCTATAATACAGATTTCAACCCGCTCATCAGTTAGGTATATGCTCACAGTCATGAGCTTCCTTAACCCATGTGAAGCCAAAGACAGTACACAAATAACTTTTGTATAAACTTGACATATTGAAGTTTGCAGATTGCATATTTTGACTTACAAATGGTCCATATATGATGGTACCTGTCAATGCAGAATTACCCAGGAATGCCCGATGCACCAAGGCAAGTACCAATGACAGGAGGCCACCATACCCCTCTATTCAAGTAGTAAGACCACACTATCACCCATCGAGCCAGATGGCTTCACAATCCTCGATAATTCATTCCTTCGGACAAACGCTTCCAAACCAACCAGTAGTCGGAATAGCTGATTCGCCAATGTATTCTCGCCATTATCTGCGACGTCTACACAAGTCAATCCCAGTGCTCCCTACACAGCGATCTCTATTTATCCAGAATAATTGAAGTAATAAGCTTATAACACATCCCAGTGAAAAGCAAGCTAACAGACAGATTAATTTGTGGGCACGATGACCTTGTTACAGGTTGTTAATCATTGGTCCAAATCACAAGTCCACCACCTCATTTAGTGTGTGATAAATGGAGTAGTCTCGAACCGGAAAGATTGCGGTTTGTCAATAAAAAATTATTCTGAAATGTCATTAGATTTCAGTCGATGCTTCTATAGGGCCATGTTCTAAGAGAAAGACTCGGATAAGTGTCAATTGATATAAAACAATTGCCATTTCCTTTTTGCAGTAATAACTTCACTAACACCCCACCGATGTGAGTCTGTAAATTTAAAAATGATGTTTTTGCAGACTGACTGTTAGTAGAAAAGAGATCAAATATTCGAAATCGGCTCAAATTTTATTTATAATTGATTTTTGGTAAGCTTCATCGGACTTACCAAATTAAATTAAAAACTCATTTCGCGTGCCGCAGGTTACACACATCTGCTCTAAATAATGAATTTTTGAATAAGATAATCGGAATTAGTCCTAAAATCAGAGACACTACCATGTTTCCCCGAAAATAGGACCTAGCCTGAATTTTAAAAATGATGTGAATAGAAGCCCTTCCCTCAAAATAGGACCTACTCGATAGCGCGAAATTTTGTAGATGCAAAAATTCGCCAGAAATTTCAGTTAAATGAAATCTTCATTAAAATTTATGAATCTATTGACTTGCATGGCATTTCAGAGGATTATGATATGGTCAGTTGTTTTTTAGTTAAACATTTAATTTATAATTAAATAAAATCTCGTAATTATGTACTTTGTAATTTTGTTGTTGATAAATGAAATAAACTAAATACCCTACAAATAGGCCCTTGTGTTATTCTTTGTAAAGAAATAGGACCATGCCACATTTTCGGGGGAACACAGTTTCGATATGTTTGAGACACCCCCGCCCACACATAAGAATTTGTGCATGTCCTGGTATAAGTCATTGATATAACAGGGTGCACAATCCATCTTAGCTAAACAAAAATTAGGGAACATGGTAAGGTTAACCATACTATATCGAAAATAAATAACTTTTAATTTATAAGGTATTGATATAGCTGGGTGCTGGGGTACAATCCATCTTAGCGAAGAGATTTATGACTGTTAAGTTAAGGATGATGTTATTAAGGTTACTCATACTGGTACTACAGTAGAGAGGAAATTAATGTTCGAACTGGCATCAGCTAAATAAACATTTGTTATCGGCTGCAGGGTGAACTTTGAACCTCTTCAGACTTATATGTTGTTCTGGGTTGAATTATGCGTCATTGAGTTTGTTGCAGTTCTGGTATCCATTACTATATTGAAGTTATTTATTACTGATGACTGAATTGAGAGAGGGATTTAATTAAGTTTTAATCATTGTCAGATCACAATGACAAAACTTATATTTCTCAGTAAGATTAGATAAAATGAATGAACAATGGTTTTTGTGGCTTAAAAGTAATACATAGCCAAGGTCCATCAGATTTGGTACAATTTACGCTTGACCAAACCTGGGGAATCAATGAAAGGTATATAATGGCATTATTGTTTGTTTCAAATTTTATACGTTGGTATGCCCCACCACAATATAGTTTCTGTATCATGTGTCTCTTCAGTGCTCATCTGTAACTTTTCTCAGAGTCCTGTCTCCTTTATTAGTTGATGTGCATAACCTTGCTACTCTTTGTTTCCGGATCTCTCATATATTCGCACTCGCATCCTTGGTCATAATATGGCAATATTAGTTATTTTCGGGCTATTTTACCTTTAGGTTTATGTTTTGTGAAGTATTCCCGCACTAACTAAAATCATTTTAGGCATCATACTATGATCCATGCTTGAGCCGAGTGTTCGTAACCACGATGACGTCAACATATTTTTTTTGTAAATTTTTTATTTTACTACTAATTCAATTTTATTTGGGTAAGTATTTCAAAGCTTAGAAATACATGAAAGAATTTGTCATTACTTCAAAGATAAGTATTTTGAACGAGCGAGAAACAGTTTCGCGCACATAATAAACAAACAAAGATTCCAGACAACTATCGTGAACATGCTCTCACATAACATTGATTATTTCGCGTTTTGTTGTAGTTAGCTGTAGTTGTTCCACCAGAACGAGTACATTCTCAACTAGTGACAGAAGTTCCATCGTACACTTCAATGCTGGTATTATCACCAACCAGGACAGATGCTTCCGATTCACCCAATACCACTCACCAATGAATTCACGATCACAGCCTGTACCCTTTACACAAGTCCATTCCAGTGCTCCCTACCAACGATGGCTTTCTGAATACCCCAGGCAACCACTCTGCAATCTGCTATTTAAATAAGAGATTGAACTCCATTTCCATCACGTGCTGGTGTTTTGTGACTTGGGTTGGTTATGAAACTCACTGGAACCATCTAAACTAAATGCAGATCATATTCAATACATGTAAATATCGATTGTACACTGATATGTATGCCTTGATTAAATGGCTCTTATATTAGATCAATGTGAATTAATAGAATGTTGGTATTCGATCAATATAGGAACTATCACATATCAAGTATCTGTATGTTATATTCATTAAAAAATATTGTTTGAATGATTCTTAATAAAATATTTGTTTTAATGATCCTTAATAATAACTTTTGTCTGTTGTCTGGGTCAAAGGTCATTTATAATCACTGCTTCCATGATGTGCGATATTATACTTTTATTACCACCAAATACATTCTCTAGAATTGCATACAAATTGCTTGGGTGCAGTATACAAGTACATAGATGATGGTAGTCTAAAGAAAGATTGCAAGTGACACCGATGGTTGAGACTTAAGAGCAATGCACAGATTTATCCTAGTGAAGGATATAGCAGTTGGCAAGGGACTTTGAAAAGTTCATCACTGTCAATAATATTGAAAATATGTGAGAAACCTTGTTCACATGATATCATTGTGAAAAGTGAAATATTATTGTATAAAAAAAACATTGATCCTTAGTATACACCTCCAATCTTCACGCCACAAAAAAAAACGCATTTGCTGCCAAGTTTGTGTTTTGTTTCACCCATCTACTCTATCAAACAATAGTTTTTAAACAGAACAACCCGCATTACTGTATTCTAAAGATCTTATTTGAAGTATATAAATCCTATTCCCCAATATTCACTCTCAACAAAGCTCTGCACTGTGGTGACACAGTCAAATTTTTTTTTAGAGCGGCCCTTAAAAAAACGTTGCCTGCCCACCACGGTTCTAGAATATGTTCTCAATAACCCAAGCTCTGGGAGGCACCCTGTACTTATGATGAAAGTGTTAGATTGGGAAGGCAAATGTCGAATGGGAAAATTCTGGACCTACCATAAATATTAACTCCTTAAATTTCTATGACAGTGCCTTGCTCGTAGTGAACAGTGTGAAAATGCATCGTATGATAAATATATGACTCAGAAATGATATCTGTGCACGCGCTAAAAGAGTATCAAAGGAGGTAATCTGATAAAAAAAGAGAGAATAGTTGATCTTCTTGCATCAGTGGCAGATTATTCAGAGCCCAATCAGAATTGAAAGTGGGAAAACGCGGAAAGTGGGAAAACGCCTCAAATTGAATTATAAGATGTTTTTGCTATTGGTCACCTAGCCATTGACTTTATGTAATTATCCCAAGTCAAATGCCATACAGACCAATCCTTATAAAATGTGGCTGAAATTCTGCTCATATTTTAGTGACAAATCAACCTTTGCATATTGCATAGAGCCGTGCTGATAAACTAGTCATAGCTCATAAGGAAATAGATTAAGTGACGTTATTCGATAAGTTGATAGTGTAATAATTTACATTTGCAAGATCGAGCATGGTCCGTTGGTAAAACACACTGCTGAGACACTGGTCATGTTTGGTAAACACAATTTTCAAATAAATTGGTAATATGACGCCAATAGGTAATTTGATGGCTGGAGTTGACGAAAAACAAACTGTTATATCTCGATGCAGCTTAGACTTATTTTATTGCTCGAGTTAGGACTGTAGTGTGGTGTAGAGATAATAAACGTTACAGATTTTTTGATGAAAATGTGCTCAAAGCAAGTCCACGCGCACTAATTCAGAAATTTAAGAGAGAATAATTTCTGAGCGAGGTTGGACTACAGTGCCTGGGACTATAAATCATTATAATGTAGAATCGAGCATTAGTGAGTTCCGATTGACTCAAAACTTCAGGCAATATATGTTAACTATGACCAATAAAACAGCTTTTTGGTCGTGAATTCCACATAATTGAAGCTATTGGATAAAAATTTTAGCTTAGTTTTTTTTGTTGCCTGTAAGGTATCCTGACAGTGAACAAGGGAGAGCTGCCAGCCAATCGAATTAGATGAGAGAAAACTGTTTTATAGCCTTTGACAGCAATGTTCCATTCACATCTTTGTAAACTCTATATTTTGTATAATGCCACTGACTCATATATTCCTTCCAAGTCCTTCATTATTGCCAAATACCAATTAATTTATTTTCACTCTGGTGGGCCAATGCTGAATTTAACAGAGCATATGGCCCAATATCAAGCTGCTACTTGAAAGTATCCCACGAATTTGTTTTCATTCAGAAATGCTCAAATTTAAACAAATTCACTTGTAAAACACAAGTTAGGTGAAACATCTCATATCCAATTACTTCTGATTCTAAATAGAACAGGCAGTTATGTAAATTTTCTTTCGAAAAATAACACTAGGGCTTTTTTGGGGATGTCTTTTATTTTCATCTATCAAAATCAAAATGACAAAGTTGAGAAATGCTAGATTTTCAAATACACAAAATATAAAAACCGATATTAATTGATGAATATAGATTATTCAAAAATGATCATATCATCATCATCTGGAATGTCTTGCAAGTCACTAGATTCATAAATTTTTAAATCAAAATTTCGCGCTGTCGACTAGGTATTACTTTAGGGAAGGCTCGATTTAAAACCCTTTTTAAAAATCAGGCTAGGTATTATATTTCGGCTAGGTCTTATTTTCGGGGGAATATGGTAAGAGTAAGATGGAACATTCATAGCAAACTCAAGTAAAGCAATGTTAAGATAAAATATTAAGTTTTAGCTGAATTTCCAGTTTGAGCTTTTCGAAGTCTCTTTGAATTTGGAACGCTTTTAGGAGGTTTTAGGAATATTCGATCGTTTCTGTCATAATCGAGTCGGAGTCATGTATCTGACAAATCTTGTTCCTAAGTGAGGGTTCCACAAAATTGCTTGTTTGTGCATGGTTATTAATAATCATGGGTTAGTGCTATATCATCCCTCAAATATATTATCACATGCTGCGTAGTGTTACAATAAAAGTACTAAACATAGGTAGATAGACACACAGCAATGCGAGTTGTGTATAAGAAAAGACTAAAATTTGAAAAATTTAGGTACAATGTTTGAAAAGCATTGCTCCAGGACATTGCTGTTATAAATTAGAATTTGACTGTTTTGTAACCTTGAATTTTATTTAAATTTATATTACTACTACTATCTTTATACTACTATTCAATTTCTACTTATCTATATTGTGTTACAAAAACGAAATTCTGACTCAAATATTTACTTACTATAGAAATATTACAGAATCAAGTTACATCAGCATCTTTAACTGTTACATAAGGCTTCACGATATGGGAAGATTTTCCAGGAATTCGAAAATGGCTGCTTTAGCAAAATCTGCAAAGATTACCCACTCATTGAATGTACTTACGTCATTCAATGAACTAAAACAATCTGAATGCATTTGTAACTTCACAATCAAAGTTGGTGACAAATCTTTCAAAGTCCATCGAGACCTGCTTGCCGCAGTATCAAAGTACTTCAAAGGCATGTTTTCAAGTAACATGGTTGAGGCTCGTAATGGTTATGTCATTATGAAAGACATCTGTGCTGATGCTGTAGGGCAGTGTGTAGATTTCATGTATACTGGTCAAGCAAATCCATCCATGGAATCTGTTGAGAATACTTTGTATGCTTCCCACTTAATGCAGCTTGATGTATTATCAGTATATGCTTTAATTTCATGGAAAATAATCTGTCAGTGCAGCATTGCCTCCTAGTGGTCAGGTTGGCAAAGCTTTATGATCGCACAGTGCTAGAAACCATTGCTGATCAATTCATTTTGGATAATTTTGAGTCTCTGATTTTGGGTGAAAATTTTTTACATCTGAGCAAAGAAGAACTCGTATTTTATCTGCAAAAGATGGATAAAAAGCATGAAGTAATTTGGCATGCTGTGAGAAGATGGATTTCAAACAAAGGTGAAAAGATTGGATCAGAATTAATGGAGGCTTTGCATTTTGGAGAGTTTCCGTATAAATTTTTACTCACAGATCTTCTAAATGATTGTTTGGTAGAAAGTTCTTCAGATGCGAAAAGTTTTGTCGTCAAAATATTGCTTTCGAATATCGATGGGTTGAAAGAGAATTTGTCTCTCGACACTTTATTCGTTTTGAGGAAGATTAATCAGATCAAAAGTAAAGTTTGCTCAGAAAATGTCAGAAATATAATCAATGAATTTATGGCTCAGAATTTTGAACAGATTGTACAGATGGATGAATTTATTGAGTTGGAAAAAGATGAAGTTTTTTTCTTGTTCAAATCTCCGGAAACAAAATATTCTTCAGAGAAAATTAAATGGGAAGCTGCACTGAAATGGGCCAAACAAAGTCGTCGTCATCAGAAAGTTTTTCCAGACTTGCTCGAGTTGATGAAACTTCAGGAATTTTCTGATGATTTTATTAAACAAACAGTCAGGAATGAACCTTTGGTTAAAGAGTCGCATAAGTGTAAAGATTTATTGCTTGATGCTTATTCCAGAGCTCGGACTGGGAAACTCGGACTTGTCCCACATATTGCTGTCTCAACAAAGACTGGTATAAGGGCTCTGAATCTCCAAACAAATCAATGGTCTAGTTTGCATTCAGATTATGATGTTGGCTTTCACCTTGTCAATGGTGAGAGACGATTGTATGCTTCAGATGGGAATGAATTGTCTTTGCTACAAGATGGTCGATGGATTAAGAGGGCCAAGGTTGAAAGGCAGAGTACGATAAGATACGATAACATGGTTTATCTCAAGGGTGGGATTTATATTATCAGCTGTGATGAGCATACAGTGCGATATGACATAGCCAAAGACAGATGGGATAAGAATTTGCCTTTATGTGATCTTGGTGATGGTTTTTGTGCTGCTGCCTCTGGTGAGTTCATATATGCAATGGGTGGTCGTTCAACACGAAGAGAAGCAATAATATACGATCCTGGAACAAAAGAATGGTCTTCTCTGCCACAGATGATTTATGCGGCATATGGTAGTGCAGCAGTCGTTTTTCAAAGTATGGTTTATGTACTTGGCGGTTTAAAGTACCCTATCCTCGCAGCCTTGTTCAATGTTATAACCCTGTTGTTCGCTCTTGGACAGAAATTGCAAATATGAAGATGAGTAGAGGTTGGTTCAGTGCATGTGTTGTTGATAATAAAATGTATGCAGTCGGTGGTGCTGGAGGTCTGACTAAGGATTCTATTGAAACATTCAATGAAGAAACTGGTGAATGGAAAATAGTCTGTGAAATGGATCGGCCTGAGGTGGACTGGGTTTATTGCTGTTGCTTTACTCAATAAATGAGTAATCAGTGATAAAATTTGTTAATGAAGTAAATGGGCTTGTATATACTGACTGTATCAACTCACCTATTGAATCATATCAATAAAATACTCACAACATGCCAAGACTTGACTCTATCTTCACAGCCCTGACCAAAAAATGAAATATCTGTCTATTTAAGATTTGGTTATTTCTTTGTACTTACCGGTATATACATATTTATTTCATTATTTTAAATGTTCTGAATTGAAATTCTACTCAATCATTGTTAAAGTCAGATTTCATGAAAATTCTGTTTGCTTTAAAAAGACTGAATTTTTTTGTTTGTAAAAATTGTGTAATTGTTTGATTTTTGACATTGTTATTCCAAGCATCTATAGTTTTTGTTCGATTGTGCAATTTTAATCACCATAATGTTTTGAATATTTCAATTCAATTGTGTGAATATCTAATGAATATGCACATATTAATTATGAACCATGTCGGGAGAATATGGCTAGTGTAGACAGTCTGTGCAACCGATATTGAGGTATTTTTCGAATATTTTTTATTATACCGAAAAAACAACGCGCCGCCACTGGGAAACACTATTAAATTATCGAATGACGTCAGCTAATCTGCGCCCAATTAGTTGCCTGGGGTCTTTAGGATGAAATCGTTGGTAGGGAGCACTGGGATGGACTTGTGTGGAGGGTGCAGGCTCTGATCGTGAATACATTGGTGAAGCATGTTTTATTCGGTGAATTAGAAGCAACTGTCCCGGTGGGTGATAATGAGGCCCTGGTGCTGGCATAGAAGTGTAACTAATGTCACTAATTGAAGGGGAAAGGAAATTCGATAATACGACATAATCATATGAATCACGGCCTCTCGACGGTTATCGGTCCTGGGGCGCCATTTGCCAAACTTCTTTATCGGTTAACGTGTTAGTAAAGCACCCACTTTCTCGTAAAAGGCAAAAATGGTATTCTCGAAGTATCGTTAATATTCGAGAGAATTTTTTGCGCGCCAAAACAGACGTCTCGTTAAGTGCCTTCTCCTCTCATTTTACCGAGAATCGGTATTCACTAAAGTTCTTTAACGCGCCGGAGTGCTCGCAAACTAACGAGGGGAAATTTTGTTCGTTAACATTAGTTCGGCCTGTTCTTAGCATGAATTCAAGTTGAGATGTAGAGGTAAGAGGTGTGTGTGTTTATTTGTAACAGTATCTACACAATAATAAAACGGTATAACTAAGACGGGATACATGTTCAATGTAAGACAAATATGCGCGATATGCTTTAAACAAATGCTGTGGTGTTTGCATACTTCGTGAAAAATTGGTATCGAAAATGCCTGACTTAGGTGAGAGTGACTGTGGACCCACCTATATATGCCAACAAACAGCGTACCAACATCAAATATGGGATTACATATTCATCTGTTTTGTTGTATGTTTCAGAAGTAGTTTAACAATATGTATCTCAGAATTTATTTCATTCATCCATAGATTACTGCTATATACGGTACCACAGACTTTAAATCACAGGCTGCAAAAAATAAAACAGAGATCATTGCAAAATAGGCTTATCCGCGCTGGGCGTCTACCGGCAGTGAGTGATCGTACGGGGGTTTTTGTTCAACGACGACCGTGCGTAAGATTTCGAGAGAACTTGCGTGACCGTGCGTAAAGTTTTTACGGGATGTTTCGTGAATCGCAGTTAACGAGATTTCTCAACTGCGTTTTTGGGAGACAAGGTTACGTGCTTTTTACGAAATTTGGCGAATAGTGCCCCAGGTCGGGCATGGGATTAGTTAGTGATTTGTTTTCGGTAGCATGGACCTAACTTGCGAGTGGGTTAAATATCGTTGTAGGTAATTGAAACTGCATAATCGAACAAAATCTATAGATGCTTGGAATTACGATGCTAAAAATCGAAATAATGACTAATCATAAAATTCAGGGGCGCCATTCGCTAAACTTCGTAAAAAGCCGGGTTTACGATCTCGTAACTGTGTCTCTCAGAATCGTGATAGCGAAATCTCGTTAAATGCGATTCACCAAAGACCTCGTAAGCACTTGACGCACGGTCACTAGCATTCTCTCGAAATCTTACGCACGGTCGCAGTTGAACAAAATGCACTGACTGATCACTCAGCCGTATCAGTTGTCGCCGCTTACGGTCGAGCGTCTTTCGCCTTCGCGGTAACCTATCGGCTTTCTCTGCTTCACCTTTGCAGCCTGCGTTTTGAAATTTTGTTCATATAGCAGTGGCGTAATCTATAGACTGACGGATAGGCTACATGGAATAAATGCTGAAGTTACACAGAGAGAGATTTATTGCCACAAAACAAATTACATATTGTGAACTATTTGTGTAACAGACAATAAAATCAGTGAGTTGCCAAAGCTTGTTAAGATTCCATATTTTTAATTTTTCATTGAGTCTATAAGTCCTCTATTAAGGTCCTTTCATTTGCATCTAGCTAATTTTTTTCTTTCGGATACGACATGGAGAGATTGTTGGACTTTTCTTCTGCAAGCTTCAATATAGGTAGCCATTTGTGAATCTGTGTTCATAATACTGTAGGCCAGTGCTAGAATAAACAAAAAACAATGACTTCAACAACTGAACAATCTCTGAATCTCAACCCTAGTTTAATCTGTAAATGCGGCAGATATTCCACAGCTAAGTTAACGGCACTAGACTACATACACGCTTACCTGAGTAAGGCCCCTTGATACTATGCCAATTTTTACAAAGTATGCTAACGTCCCAACGAGCCTATTTTAATTTGAATCACTGCTGAGAGCAATCCGAACTGTTAACGAGGCGAAGATTGTTCTCGTTAGCTAGCGAGCTCTTCAGCGGTTAAAGAACTTTCGTGAATACCGATTCTCGATAAAATGTGAGAAGAAGGCACTTTACGAGACGTCTCATTTGGCGCCAAAAAAACTCTCTCGAATAATTTCTCTCGAATATTTACGAAGCTCTGTGAATACCATTTTTGCTTTTCACGAGAAAGTCGGTGCTTAACTAACACGTTAAGCGGTAACGAAGCTTTGTGAATGGGGCCCCAGCCTTTTTACTGCACAATAAATTTTTCTATAAAATCTTACATGAACAATGATAGAATTTAAATTCTAACATTTAAAATAATGAATAAATAAATATACATGGGAAAACCAAAAAATAGAGATGCTGGATTACAGAAAACAAAGTATGAAGGACAGTGGGGACAGTTTAAATTTAATGTTGATGTTCATGAAATAAATACACTGCATATTATACAATATATATATATATATATAGAGGCACAATAAAAAATGTGTCTGTAGAGCCAGACTTTTTGCATGTTGGGCATGCTCGTGTATTGCATTTGCTAAAGTTTATGATATCAATATTTCGTTTCGTGTGAGACTTAGATTCGAAATATTCCTCAAGTCCGTAATCGGAGTTGAAATTTGCATAATCTCCGAGCCGAAGCCTTAAGATGTTTTTTTAAGTTTGGAGTCGAATGTAAAATCTCTGCAATTTCACCCAACAGAATTACAATTTGAAACATTTAACTTATGAAATATATATATATACATGCACAGCAGTCAAAACAAAATTTAAAAAAGCCAGAAAACCTCTGATACAGAATGAGAGGGCTTACAATTATTAATAATATCCACATGAACCAAATTTGAAAATAGCATTAGAATCTTTCACAAATCATTCTCACAAGAAATAATGCAGTTTTACATTTTTTAAATCAAATACAAAAGCACTTTTTTTTATCATAATTTTTTTGCTGAAGTTATTAAATTTCATAACATATTTTTAAATTTTCTCGATTAAATGATATAACTTTAATTTAATATATCTCAAATTAGGAAAAGTGAAAGCAATAATAATATGGCAACTCATGAGAATGACTCTGCTATTCCATAGCAATGAGGATGGTATTAAGCTCAACACCTCTTCAAAATTGTGATAAACAGGGTATCAAATGCTACTGCTCATCTTTAAATACAGTGCTTGTTGGGAATATGTCGATTTAACAAATTAAACATCTACTATGGAAGGATGAAATGAGACAACTAGTTTAGCCAGGCATTTATCTGGAAAAGTTAATTAAAGTTAATTAAATCAACTCCAATGACCCTCTAGAAAATTCAATTATTACACAAGAAACAAATATAATTCCTCGTAACCAATTTTCATCATTGATTACTCATTTATTGAGCATACCTACAGCAATGAACGCATTCTACCCCAGGCCGATTCATTTCACAGACTATTTCCCATCAGTTTCTTCATTGAATGTTTCAATAGAATCCTTAGTCAGGCCTTTATCTTTAGCACCACCAACTGCAAACATTTTATTATCAACAACACATGCACTGAATCTGAATCCATTCATCTTCATTTTTGCAATTTCTGTCCATGAGCGAACAACAGGGTTATAACATTGAACAAGGTTGTTAACACTCCATTCAATAATTCCACCAGGTACATAAACCATACTTTGAAAAACGACTGCTGCACCATCTGCTTTTCCATGAATCATCTGTGGCAGGAAAGACCATTTCTTTGTTCCAGGATCGTATACTTTGGCTTCTCTTCTTTTTGACCAACCTCCCAACGAATATATAAAATCATCAGAGGCAGCAGCACAAAAACCAAGACTAAGATTATATGAAGGCAAATTTTTATCCCATCTGTTTTTGGCAATGTCATATCGCACTGTATGCTCATCATAGCCGATAATATAAATCCCACCCTTGAGATAAACCATCTTATCGTTTTCTTCACACAGTCTTTCAATTTTGGCCTTCTTAATCCATCGACCATCTTGTAGCAAAGACAATTCATTCCCATCTGAAGCATACAATCGTCTCTCAGCATTGACAAGATGAATTCCAACATCATAATCTGACTGCAAACTAGACCATTGATTTGTTTGGAGATTCAGAGCCTTTATACCAGTATCTGATAAGACAGCAATATCTGGCACCAGTTTAGCTACGGGGGCCCTGTCATAGACGATATCAAGCAATAAATCTTTGCACTTATGCGACTCTTTGACGAAAGGTTCATTCCTGACTGCTTGACGAATAAAATCATCAGAAAAATCCTCAAGTTTTATTAACTCGAACAAGTCTGAAAAAACTTTCTGATGACGACGACTTTGTTTAGTCCATTTCAGTGCAGCTTCCCATTTAATTTTCTCTGAAGAATATTTTGTTTCCTGAGATTTGAACAAGAAAAAAATTTCTTCTTTTTCCAACTCGACAAATTGATCCATCGGTACAATCTGTTCAAAATTCTGAGCCATAAATTCATTGATTATATTCCTGACATTTTCTGAGCAAACTTCGTTTTGAATTCGATTAATCTTCCTCAAAATAAATAAAGTTACGAGAGACAAATTCTCATTCAACCCATCGATATTTGAAAGCAATTTTTTGATGACAAAACTTTTTGCTTCTTGAGAATTTACTACTAAAGAATCTTTTAGGAGATCAACGAGCAAAAAATTATAAGGAAACTCTCCAAAATGCAAAGTCTCCAATAATTCTGATCCAATCTTTTCACCTTTGTTTGAAATCCATCTTCTCACAGCATGCCAAACTACTTCATGCTTTTTATCCAGCTTTTGTAGATAAAATACGAGTTCTTCTTTGCTCAGATGTAAAAAATCTTCACCCAAAATCAGAGACTCAAAATTATCCACGATGAATTGCTCAGCAATGGTTTGTAACTCAGTATGGTCATAAAATCTTGCCAACCTGACCGCTAAAAAACAATGCTGCACTGACAGATTATTTTCCATGAAATTAAAGCATATACTTGATAATACATCAAGCTGCAATAAGTGGGAAGCATATAAGGTATTCTCAACAGATTCCATGGATGGATTTGCTTCACCAGTATACATGAAATCTACACACTGCCCTACAGCATCAGCACAGATGTCTTTTATATTGACAAAACCATTCCGAGCCTCAACCATGTTACTTGAAAACATGCCTTTGAAATACTTTGATACTGCGCCTAGCAGGTCTCGATGGACTTTGAAAGATTTGTCACCAACATTGATTGTGAAGTTACAAATGCAGTCAGATTGTTTTAGTTCATTGAATGATGTAAGTACATTCAATGAGTGGGTAATCTTTGCAGATTTTTCAAAATCAGCCATATCCTAAATCCCAGATGGTGAGGCCTTTATAAAACAGTTAAAGATGCTGATGTAACTAGATTCTGTAATATTTCTATAGTAAGTAAATATTTGAGTCAGAATTTCATTTTTGTAACACAATATAGATAAATATAAATTGAATAGTAGTAGTAGAAATTGAACCAAGTTACAAAAAAATGGGATCCTAATTTATAACAGCAATTTTCTGGAGCAATGCTTTGTAAACACTGCAACCTAATTATTCGAACTTTAGTCTTTTCTTATACACAACTCGCATTGCTGTGTGTCTATCTACCAATGTTTAGTACTTTTCTTCCAATATACCCAGCATGTGCCAATATTTTTGAGGAATGATATAGCACTAATCCATGGTTATAAATAAATAACAAGCAGTTCCGAGGAATCTTCACTGAAGAACAATTTGTCGGATACATGACTCCGACTCGGTTATGACAGTAACGATCGAATATTCTTAAAATTTCTTAAAAGCAATACAAATCTAAAGACTTCGAAAGCCCCAAACTGAAAATTCAGCTAAAACTTAATATTTTATCTTAATATTGCTTTACTTGAGTTTGCTATCAATGTTTTCCCTTTTACTCCCGAAAATAAGACCTAGTTGAAAAATAATACCTAGTCTGATTTTTAAAAAGGTTTTTAAATCAAACCCTGCCTTAAAGTAATACCTAGTCGATAGCGCAAAATTTTGAATTTAAAACTTTATGAATCTGGTGACTTGCAAGACATTCCAGATGATGATGATATAGTCATTTTTAAATAATCTATGTTCATCTATGAATATCGGTTTTTATATTTTGTATATTTGAACATCTAGCAATTCTCAACTTTGTAATTTTGATTTTGATAAATGAAAATAAAAGACATAAAATTAAAGACAAAATAAGCCCTAGTGTTATTTTTCGAAAGGAAATTTACATAACAGCCTGTTCTATTTTTACGGAAACACGGTAGAATCAGAATTAATTAGATATGAGGAATTTCACGTAACTTGTGTTATAAATGTAAATTTAGATTCCAAAATTTCTGAATGAAACAAATTTGTGGCTAACTTTCAAGTAGCAGCTTGATATTGGGCCATATACTATGTTAAATTCCACATTGGCCCATCCAGAGTAAAAATAAATTAATTGGTATTTGGCAATAATGATTGACTTGGAACGAATATATGAGTCAGTGGCATTATAAAAAATATAGAGTTTACAAAGATGTGAATGGAACATTGCTGTCAAAGGCTATAAAACAGTTTTCTCTCATCTAATTTGACTAGCTGCGAGCTCTCGTTTACTGTCAGCTACCTCACAGACAAAAAATAATAGGCTCAAATTTTTATTGCTACATTAAAATGATGTCCCAGTCACCGTAGTATTAGTATTATCTGTAGACAACACTACACTATAGTCCCAATTCGACCGATAAAATAAACGAATCTAAGCTGCATAGAGATATAACAGTTTGGTATTTCGTCAACTCCAGTCATTAAATTACCTATTGGCGTCATATAACCAATGTATTAGAAATTGTGTTTCCCAGACATAGTCAGTGTTTCAGCAGTGTATTTTACCAACGGACCAAGCTCGACCTTACAAATGTAAATTATTACACTATTAAATTATCGAATAACGTCAGCTAATCTATTTCATTATGAGCTATGACTAGTTTACCAGCACGGTTCGATACAATGTGCTATACGCAAATATATGTACACGTAAGTTGATATGTCACTACAATATGAGCAGAATTCCAGCCAAATTATATAGAGATCGTTCAGAATGTAATTCCACTAGGGATAAATATATAAAATCGGTGGCTAATAGCAAAAGCATCCCATAATTCAATTTGATGTGTTTTCCCACCTTCACTTCTGACCAGGCTCTGAATAACTGATTCTACTGATGCATGAGGACCTGCTATTCTCTTTTTCCATAAGATTACCTCCCTTAATACTCTTTTAGAACTAGCATAGATATAATTTCTGAGTCATATATTTATCATACAAAACATATTTGCCATATGTACATATACGCATTCACTAATGATAGAGACAGAAGCCTGAGGCAAAGGTACAGTTGAGCACTGAAGAGCCACAGGATACAGGAACTATATAACTCTATGAGTCTATTCAAACATTGTTTGCGAAAACAAATACCTGGCTAACTAAACCCATACCCGACATGGACTGGTAACCGGACGAGATGCCGTGGATTCGCCATATAAATAGGCCGCCCAATCGACTTTCGAAAGAAAAAAGGTTGTGGTGGGGCATTACCAGCATATAAAATTTGACACCAACAATAAAGCTATTTTATAATTTTCATTGATTCCCCATGTTTGGTCAAACATAATTGTTTAAATTGAATATTTGAAACCTATGGGCAGGGGGTATATTCACTTGGCTAACACAGACAGTCCCCGAACTCCTAAGAGAACTAAAGTAATGAAAATCGAAATAAAAGAATGTCCTAACTTTAACCTGGTACACACACTACGGGTGTACCAGAGTAATTATGTCTTTCACCTTGCTAGAATAAGCACACCAGACATACTAATGTTTAATGAAACAAACTGCATGCAATGAAATGGAACATAACACACAAATACTAGATATTTTAGAATCCATATTTAATTAAATACCAACATTGGAAAACATTTTAAATTGGACCAATTTTACATTATCATTAAGACACATTTCTCTGCAACGAAACTTGAACAGCTATAAACCTGATAAACAAATACAATATTGAAATGCATAAAGGCAATATATTGTCTCGATCATTGGAATTTAGGAAAATCTGGATAAAAGAGAATATAATTGACCCTCAACCTTTTTTGAGTAGGTATAATAGAAATAAAAATGCTCAATGAAACAAACTACATGAAACAATATTTATTGAAAATTATAACATATAACTACATGATGGATCATGGGAACTTGCAAAGGCAAACATAACACAGTAGCGTCAGATGATTGCAACAAAAGCAAATGTGAAAAGCAAAAACATGCAGTAGCAATATTATAAATAGATTAAAATAGCAATTGCATTTGAATAAAAATAATGCTAATATTTTTTATGCACATGAAACAGAAAACTTCACAGAGTCAGAATTTCAGTTTTTAATAATGAAAATTGTTGGCCGAAACTCACAAAGTACTCAACATACAATTTAATGAAAGCCTGTTTAGTGTATAGGCCAAAATTTTTTCCCACTTTAGGGTCTGCGTCGAAGCCTTTTTTAAATACTTTTCATATGGAATAAAAATATGATTGAAATAATAGGACGCATTTGAATGAAACAAATATTTCTATTATTTATCGCTGTGGAATCGAATTCTCAAACTTTTCTTACCAAAACTCGTAAAAAGAAGGTACTCATGTAGTATACGAACCAAGATGGCGGACACCGGAACGTAGTATTTGTACTAGGTCATGGTAAGGCCATAATTTCAGGTACGAACACTACGGGAGTCACTTGACTAGTCCTCGAACTCTTAATAGAACTAAAATAAGGAAAATTGGAATAAAATTATGGCTTAACCTTAACCTGTTACACATACTACGGGAGTCCAAAAAAGAGTAATCATGGCTAAGCCTTTTCAGCAGTTGATGAAAGAAGATTTTCAGACGACAAATTTTTTTTGCAGTCATTTTAACTTGAAGTTTGAGTCGAGGACGGAGGCCAAGACCTCAAAGATGATCCCTCCAAGCGAAAAAGAATTTCAACATCCGTAATATTTCATAAAACATCCTGGATCACTATTAAAAAGCTTAATATATCGGTCTACATTTAGCGGATACCAAAAATTGTCCGATATCGATGTGTTGATACATCTCTAATTGAATAGCTAAGACTCCACGGCTGCAAATTCAAAATATTCATTATTCCATCTATACATTCAATGTCCAATATGACAAGACAAATAAAACAATCAGAACTTCCCCATATCGCAACCAAATTTCTAGTTGTAATTTCCAAACCGTTAATATGCAACACCAAAGGTGGTTGTAGGAGCATCCATACCAGTGGGAAATGGTCCTGCTTCTGGCATTGTTGGAAGGGTGGAACTCCTGTTAGTGGTTGAGGAATTTTTTTCTGTGAGAAACAACCAACGCTGGTTGTGCAACAGGCATTCCTGGGTAAATCTTCAACTGCATTGGCGGGTACCATCATATACTTGACCATTTGAAAGTCAGACGATTTTTTGGCAAGAATATGCCTGCTGTGAAGTATAACTTTAACGCTTCAAGTTCACACAAAATCTTTTGTGTATTGTCCTTGGCTTCTCATGGGTTGAGCAAGTACGTAACTGGTGAGTGAGTTGAAATTCATTGTAGATTGTTCAGGCGCGCCATATTAAATCAATCAACTAACGGACAAACAAAATGCAGTGGACCTGAAGGACGGGCATAACCTAATAAAATAGTTAAAAACGCACAAGTACGTCCACACAAAAAACACAATAATATAAAGACGCGATATAAAATTGGGCAATACCTTTTAAATAACAGTGCCTCATTTATAATGACTTAATATTGGTTTGGCATATATTTTCAGTCGTACATACCATCCCTGGCGTTTTGATGTTTTGAAAAATGTGATTTTGACTGCACCTTACTCGGCATAGGTATCAAGATATTTCAAACATGAAAAAAACGTAAAATTAATGGTAATTTCCACGCGTAACGACACGCATTGGATTGTTTACGACTTTCTGCGCGCATTTCGATCTAAAAAAGTAAATTGTTTTGCATTTGGGAGGGGGTGGCTGTGCAATAATAATTAGAGGTGTGATGTCATCAAAATGGTTAATTGAAGCGTTGAACTTAAAAATTCTGTAAATACAATCGTGAATTTCAGAGTAACCATTTTTGCTATAATGAGGGTGTTTGTAATGTTTTGTTGAAAAAAAACGTAGGAAAACGTTGAAATAAAATTAATTAATTAGGAATAATTAATAAATCAATTTAGGATGCGAGACACTG